ATTTCCCATGTTTTGCAGCAGCTTTTCCCTGGGGATAAACAGGAACCAGGTTTTCCTGGAGAATGGAATGGGAATGAGAGACTCAGGCTGGGATTCTATGGAAGGAGATGTTTCCTCCTGAGGAAAACTGGGATGAACTTTCCCAGATGGTTCTGCCCTTGTGGCTAAAATTCCCCAGCAGGAAGGTGAACTCTTCCTCCGAGGGTTTTCCAGAGGGAAGATGTGTTTAATTGGGGGTGGTTAATGAAGGGGGTGGTTAATGAAGGATAATTCCCTGTGCCATGAAAACCTTGGAGCTCTTGTGAGGTCCTTGTGGCATTCCCAGAGTTCCCAGCTGGCAGAGATCCCACATTTCTGATGTGTGGCTGAAGATATCCAGGGACAATTCCACCAACAATGATCTGGTTGGATAATGGGAGAGACATGGAGCTGATAGGGAAGGTTTGGGAAAAATTCCAAGCAAAACTTTTGCCTTTAAGAAATAAAAACCAGAAGCAGCTTATCCTGACAAAATGACTTTTTACAATTTTTTTTTTAATTTTTATTTTCCAAAAAGAAGCTGCATCTGTCAATATATCCTTGATGTTTTTTCCCTCAGTGCTTCTTTRGGACAATTGAAATGCCTCAGGTCTGTTTTCCTTGGATTTTTTTTTTCCCCCAAAATTTGAATCCAAGATCAAAATTGTCTCATTTTCCATCCTCGGGACTAAAATGTTCATATTTGCCGAAAATGTCTTTGGATAGGGCATGGAACCATGGAATGGTTTGGCTTGGAAAGGATCTTAAAGCTCATCYAGATCCAGCTCTCCTGGAAATGAGARGTTGGAATTTGGTGGGAAAAATCCAGGACTGGAAGCTGAAGGGTTTATCCTTGTTGAGGATGGAAAAGAAGGAATGGGAATGTGAAATGGTCCAGAGGAAAATCCGGGATGTTGGAGGCATCCAAAGGACAAATGGGGATTGTGGCAAGGGAGATGGAAAACTGGGAGGGTTAGATGGGATATTGGGAAGGAATTCCTGACAAAGGGATCTGGGAGTTTGGGGTCAGGTTTAGAATTTTTTTTAGGAGAGAAAAGGGTTAAAAATGGCTGAGAAACAGTGGAAAACTCTGGGACCTCCTGAGCGAGGGATTTGGGAATTTGTGATTGGATTTAGGATTTTTTACTGGTGGCTGAGCTGGAGAACTCTGGGACCTCCTGACAGATGGATTTGGGAATTTTGGTGTTGGGTTTAGGGTTTTTTAGGAGAAGGGGAAAGAGTCAAAAATGGCTGAGCTGCAGCAGAGAACTCTGATACCTTATGACCTATGGATTTGGGGGTTTGGGGTCGGATTTGGGTTTTTTTAGGAGGAAGAGAAAGAGTTCCTGGTGGCTGAGGTGCAGCAGATGGGCTGGGGGAGGAGTCTGGGTCCTCCTGACTGATGGGTTTGCAGTTGGATTTAGGATTTTTTACTGGGGCTGATGTGCAGCAGAGAACTCTGGGACCTTGTGAGAAAGGGATCTGGGAATTTTGGGGTTGGTTTAGGGCTTTTTAAGAGAAGGGGAAATAGTTAAAAGTGGCTGAACTGCAGCAGAGAAGAACTCTGGGACTTCCTGAGCAGTGGATTTGGGGGTTTGGGGTCGAGCTTAGGGGATTTTTTAGGAGCAAAAGAAATAATTAAAGGTGGCTGAGGTGCCTGGGACTTCTTGACCAAAGGATTTGAGTGTTTGGGGTTGGGTTTAGGGCTTTTTAGGTGAGAGGAGTTACTGGARCTGAGGTGCAGCAGAGAACTCTGGGACCTTCTCAGCGATGGGTTTGGGGGTTCGGGGCCGGGTTTGGGGTTTTTTAGGAAGAAGGCAGGTGCAGCCGGACCCGTCCCGCGCCGAGTGTCCCACTCCGCCCGCAGCCACCGGCGAATCGCAGGAAAGTTCCCTTTTCCCAGGATTTCCTGGAAGCTCGGGGCGGGGGTAGCCCGGCAGGAGCGGGAGGCAAAAAAATCCCAGAATTTCTTTGGGAAAGCGCTGTGGGAACAGAGCGGGATTGAGAAGGGGCGGGAGCTGAGAAACACTACCCAAACCCCATCCTGACCTTTTCCCTTTCACTTCCCTGCGTCCCAACTTCCCTAAATCGGAGCTGCCGGGGCGGGGAGCGCAAAATCCGGTGTTTTTTAAAAAAAAAAAAAAAAAAAAAAAGAAAAGGGAAAAGGAAGGAGCAGCGCCTTTGGAATCCTCATTAGGGCGGATTTTGTAATCCTGGCTCCGGGCTCCGTGCGCGTCTGGGATTTGTGGGTCCCACTCCCGATGTGGGAGGGAGAGGTGGGAGGGCAAAGCCTTGGGAACACCGAGCGCTCCCGGATTCCTGCGGCTGCCGGAGCCTTTTCCACGGGGGGATTTCCCTCGGCTGCCTCGTGCCAGGTACGTGGCTGCACAATCCCTAAAATTTTGGGATTTCACCGTGGGTTTCGGAGTAGGATCAGCTTGATTTGCTCCAGAGGAAAGTTTGGGATTGTTTTCCCCAGGTGGAAATTTGCGCCTGGGATCAAATCGTGGAGCGGATTTCTCTGAAATGTAAACTGGATTTTCACGTGGTTGATCTGCACCAAAGCCCGGCTTCCCATATGGAATTTATGAACATTTTTAAGAATTTACCTCGCAGCGAAATTTAGGCTTTGTTAAAGCCTTTCCTTGCTCCCACCACGCATTTTCCAGCCAGGGATATTCCCGATCCTCGTTGCTTCTGCTGGCGGGAGGGATTTTCCAGCCTCACCTGATATTCCGAGGGGGATGCAAAAACCTGGGAAAGGCTTGCTCCACGCCGGGCTCGCTCATCCTGCCCGGCCGAGACGGGAAATCAATCCTCCGCTAATTAGGGAGAGGCTGATAAGCTCGGCTTATCRGGTTTCTGGCAAGGAGGGGAGTGATCCATGAAAAAACAACAAAAAAAAAGCTTCCAGGTGGCTCAGGTGTTCCATGAAAAGTGTGGATTAAACGTTAAATTATGGGGGGAAAGGAGCACATTTGAAGTGTTTATGAAGAGAAAAAATAATGGAAGGTTGAGGAAGAGGAACTGCAGCTGCYGGGAGGGGCCGGGTTTAAACTTTGGTTTAATTTGGGTTCGGCCCAAAGTTTGGGCTCCTGGGGAAAATTTCCTTTGGCCCTGGAGCTTCCTGGAATGTGCAGCTCTTCCTGGAATTCTTGTTAGTGCTTCTGGAAGGGCTTCGTTCCCAAAGGGCTGGAAAAKGGGAATTGTTTTGGGGYTGTCCAAGGMAACCAAGGATTCTCCTTCAAAATTCTGCTTTCTGGCCATTTGGGGGCCAAAATATCAGYGAGTTCCAGAGAAATCCAGGAATAATGGGGAGAAATGGGAAAAAGTTGGAAATTTGGAGATTGCTGATCCCAGAGTTGTGTTTTTTTGGGAATGTGAGAGGAATGAAGCTCAGGAAGGGGCCGGGTTGAAGTTTGTTTGCTAAAACCAGCTCTAAGCTTGGGGCTTGGAGCAGTTGGGAATGGCATTTGGGAACTGTTTGGATTCCTTTGGGATGGGAACATTTGGGAACTGTTGGTGTTCCTTGGGGATTGGAGCATTTGGGAATTGTTGGCATTCCTTTAGGACTGGAATGTTTGGGAACTGTTGAGGTTCCTTTGGGACTGGAGCATTTGGGAATTGTTTGCGCTCCTTTGGGATTGAAGTGTTCCTTTGGGATTGGAGTGTTTGGGAACTGTTGGCATTCTTTTGGGATTGGAGGAATTGTTGGGATCCCTTTGGGATTGGAACATTTGGGAATTGTTGGGACTCCTTTGGAATTGGAACATTTGGGAATTATTGGGACTACTTTGGAATTGGAGCATTTGGGAATTGTTGGGATTCCTTTGGGATTGGAAAGGGCTGCACGGAGAGCCCTGGAGCTCCACAAACAGGAATTTCCTTGGGAAAACCTTCTGTCAGAGGTTGGCAAAGCGTCTGGGGCTGGAATCCTCTGGGAATTGGGGCTCCTTGGAATGCTGGGCTGGAGTTGGGGAGCGCTTGGTAGGAATTCCTCGGCTTCGCGTTTGTCCTCCAGGATCGCCCCAAGGCTTGGATGGAGCGGGAGGAGCTTCCTGCTGCTCCCAGATTTGGGAAAGGCCCTGGGCATTACAGATGTGTGAAAAAAATGGGGAGTTCTTCCTTTAGGATTGRTGTGAATGGGGCTGGAAGTGAGTCCAGGGAATGTTCCTGGGCTTTTTTTTTAAAGAGAGAAGGCTCCAGGGAGACCTTTGGCTGTGCCTGATGGAGCTGCAGGAAACAGGGAGAGGGATTTGGGATAAGGGMTGGAGGGACAGGGCACGGGGAATGGGTTCCCACTGCCAGAGGGCAGGGATGGATGGGGTACTGGGAATTGGGAATTCCTGCCTKGGCCGGAATTCCCAGAGAAGYTGTGGCTGCCCCTGGATCCCTGGAAGTGTCCAAGGAGAGGTTGGAGCACCCTGGGACAGTGGAAGGTGTCCTTGCCATGGAATGGGATTACCCTTAAGCTCCCTCCCAACCCAAACAACCCCGAAATTCTGGGATTTTTGGAAATTTGGCATCAAGGGAGAGGAAATCCCAAAACTGACATGGAAGTTGTTCCCCTCCCTCATTCCTGCCTTTCCCCATTTCCACCTTATGAAATCCTCTCTCCTCGTGACCTCCCTCCTCTGGACCATCCCTGGCTGTCCCAGCTTAGCTTTGGGGTTTTTTTCCATAAATCCCAAACCATTCCCGAGTGTCCAGGGCGAATGACAGCAGTCACACTTCTCCATCCCTAAGCTCCTTGTAAAGATAAGGATAATGGGAAGTACAAAGCCGGCCAGGATTAAACCTCTTAAATCAGCAGCCCTGCTCTGTGCTGGGCTTTAATTAAATCCTTAATGAAGTCCTTAATTAGGGGGAGAGGGATCTTCCCTGGCTTTGGCTGTCAACAAGGCAAGGATTTAATTCCAGTGGTTCATTCTGCAGTGGGGTGGCACAGGAGGCCCAAAAATTCACTGATTTTACTGAAAATTGGGTTAAACTGAGCCTAAAAGTTCACTTATTTCACTGAAATGGGGCTAAATTAAGTCTAAAGGTGCCCTCACTCTGCTGGATTAATCTGAGCCTAAAGGTTCACTTATCCTGCTGAAACTTTATTAAACTGAGCCTGAAAATTACCTCATCCATTGAAATGAGATTAAATTGAGCCAAWAATTTGCCTTGTCCCACTGGATTAAACTGGGCTGAAAATTCCTCTAATCTCACTGAAATTGAATTAAATTGAGCCTAAAATTTCCTTCACTTCACAGAAATTGGTTTAAACCGAGCCCAAGTCCCCYCACTTCACTGAAACTGTCTTAAACAGAACCTAAACTTTCCTTCAGMTCAGCAAAAGTGGGTTAAAGTGAACCTTTTTGGGGTAAAAATCATGTTTAGGGTGGGAGGTTCAGCCTTCAGGAAGGATTTGGATGTCTGAAGCCAATTATGGGCTTTTTTAGGAATGAGTTTCCTCGGGAAGGGCTGGGATCTCCCAAAGCAGGGTTTAGGGGAGAGCGAAAAGCAGCTGGGGCAGAAGAGGAATTGTGGGAAGCTCCTCTGTCCCCTTTTTCTGCCGGAAATGACACAAACTGGGAMGAAAACACTTCCCCCCCTTCACATGGAGCTTCCTGTTTTTCCCATTTTCCGTTTAAGACAATAAAATATCCCAAAATTTTGAGGGAAAAATTTTGCTCCTTGGGCTGAAAATCCATTTTGCAGCTTTGGGTCCTTGTGAGGGAAGGTAAAAGGGTTTTTTTTGGTGCTCTTTGGATGCTCCCACTGCCTGAAATTCCCTGGAATTTTCACCAGGAAAGGATATTTTGAGGATTTCCCTACTTCCATGTTTGTCCTGCTCAATCCCCCAAAATTAAGGCAATCTCCCTCCAGATCCTGCCTGGCTCTGCAGGGCCCTCCATGAATCCCACAATCCCAATCCCAGTAACTCTGCTCTCATCCTCATTTTCCCATTGCTGAGGGCTTTGTTGGGATTTGGGATTTTATTCTTTCTGCCCTATTTACTCCCAATTATCTCTCAGCTCATCCGTTGTRAGGTGACTCCAGGCCATTCATCCCAAATCCCGACCCTCTGGAGCGGCATCCCAGTGGAAAGATTTGCTCCAATGGTGCTGAACAAAGTCTGGGATTGTTTTCCCCTCCTGGGAACAGTGGGATCTTTGTGCTGGCTGGAATTCTGACAGGACACGTGAGGGGGCTGGAATTCCACTGAAAAATCAGGAGGATGTTTGGAAAAGCAGGAAAATTTCAGCCAGGAACAGAGGGAGCAGCATCCCGGTGTTTTTTGTCGGGATTTGGGCTCCGGAGCTGAGGAATTTGTGGGTTTTGGGATTCAATTGGAGCTTGCACCCTGCTCGTGGGATGTGAAGCTGGGAAACAGATCCAAAGAGAACCTGGAAAAGGGAGTTTGGATCCAGGATCTGACCCCAAATAAATCCTGCCTCTCCCCTCACATCCCTTAGGAGTGACTCTTCATGTTAATCCCTGTTTTCCCTCCCCAACCCCCCTTTTTTTGGGATCAGATTAATCGGGATCACCCAGAGCTCCCAAGAGGAGCGAGTGCAGAATCAGGGCTGTGTTCTGATCCRATCCATTCGGGAATTCTGATCCCTGTCTCCCCGAAAATGGGGATGCAATGGGAAGGGACTGTTCCCATTCCATGGCAGCAGCAACTTGGGAATCTCTTGAAAGGCTCAGAAAGGGAAAACTCCTTCCCGAGGCAGTGGGAAAATGAAGAATCCCAAAGATGGAGGGATTGGAATAACTGTGGATCCTGGGGTTTTTTTTTGGGATGGCTGGACAAGGGAAAGGGAAGAATGGAAGGGGAGGAGGAGCTGCAGCAAGCAAGGTCCTGGGAGTAACATCGCACCTAGTTTAGCGGGAAAATTCTCTCAACATTCCCAAAATCCCAACTCCAGCACTGAGGGAAATCCCAAAGGAAGATGGAAAATGAGTGGTCCAGGAGCTGTTCAGGTTGTTTTTCAGGATGTGTTTCCATAAAAACCATTCTGTCCCGGGTAATATCCATGGGGTTTTCCAGGCATTTCCAGCTCTCTTAGAGCTGCTCATTCCCAAAGATTCCCATGCAAAGCTGATAATGAGTCTCAGCATTCCATTAAAATCCTTGCRTTTCCATCTGTTCCACCCCATTTGCTGGCAAATCCCCCAAATTTGGGAATGCCAGCTGGCTGTGGCTCCTTCCCTGCTGCATTGGGCAGACTGCAAAAAGGGGGAATATTCCAGTTGTTCTGGGGAGCTTGGGAGAGATCCCATATTCCAGGACAGATCCCATATTCTGGCTGTTCCAGGTTGCTTTGGACAGATCCCATTTTCCAGAACAGATCCCACATTCCATCTATTCCAGGCTGYTCCATCTGTGGGATGCTCACCCATCCCTTGTCTTGGTTTTGTTTTGGGGGTTTTTCCTGCCCTCACCATCCCATTCCGGGTAGGGCTGACCCAGTTCCTCTCCGGTGTTTTCTCCCACTCTTTTCCCTGTTTCCCATAAATATCTTGATGTTTCATTTCAATCCCAGTCTGTTCTCTGTGGCTTTCTCCTCCTTTCTTTAGGAATATTTGTGGCTGGTTCCTTGAGGGTGATCCCATTCCCTGTGGCATTCCCTGGAGCACCCTGCTGCCTTTGTTTYCCCAGTGGAAATCCCAAAACCCGTGGTTTTTCCCATTTCCCAGCCCTGGTTTCCCTTGGAGGTTCCCAATCTTTTTCCTTTGCACTCTGTGGTGGAGCAGGGATGGTTTTGTTCAGGAGGCGAAAAAATTCCAAATTTTTCTGCCTGATTGAACTGGAATATAGCAATTTATGGGATTTTGGGAAGGAATTCCTGCTTGGGAAGGAATTCCSAGAGAAGCTGTGGCTGCCCCTGGATCCCAGGCRGTGTCCAAGGTYGGGTTGGACATTGGGGTTTGGAGCTGTCCCTGCCCATGGAATGGGATCATCCTTAATCTSCCTTCCCACCSAACCATTCCATGAAATGCTGTTCTGACAGGAACGATGGGAAAACCTAGAAATGATGGATAAACCTGTATTTTCTGGGGGATGGTATGGGATGGGATGTGGCAATTCTGGGGTTTTTGTGGGGCTGGAAGGGCTCTTTTGAAATTTCCCGTTACCACTCATCCGTTGAGGAAATGATCCTGAACTGACGTGGGCAGGCTGGGAGGAGCCTCCAGTTTTTCCCGAGAGAGTGAGAACATGGATCCTAAAAAGAAAGAAAAAAAATCCCACAAAACAGCCCCAAACCCAATGCAAAATTCTGTTAAATGTGGAGCAACTTTAGATGGAATAGACCACCTGAACGCTCCAGGGTTTTGGCAGGGTTGGGGTGTTGCTGCTCCAGGGGATCATCCAAAGGGTTTTCCTATGGAATAAATCCCCCAGAAACCGGAATTCCCAAGGCACTGTGGGATCAGCTGATGCTTCACCCAGATCTGTAGGAAATGTGTAGGATTTCCAAGGAGTTTTGCCATGAATCCCTTTGATGGTAATGAGTTGGCTTGTCTGGGTGGTTGGATAAGATTTTGGGAAAGATTTGGGATTTGGCTCCTTTCCCTTTATTTCTTTGGTTTTGACTTT